AGACCAAATGGTCAATAGAAAATAATACCGATTCTAAGACCCCTCAGATTAGTAGACAGAAAATGATTCCGGTTCTAAGACAGGCCAAATGTGTCGACAAAAAATGATGCCGGTTCGAAAACAGCTCAATGACTATTAGTAATTATACGATGTTTGACTTCATTGGAGCTGTCTTAGAAACGGTACCATTTTTTTTTGACAGGTCATTGACTTGTCTTAGAACCGGTATCATTTTCTGTGTGCTAATTTGACCTGTCTTAGAAGAGGCATAATTTTTTATCGACTAATTTGGGCTGTCATAGAACCGGCATCTTTTTTGTTGGCTAATTTGAGCTGCCTTAGAAACGGCGTCATTTTCTGTCAATCATCACGACATTGTCGTCAAGCTTCGGACAAAAAATGATGGGAGTCGTAAGATAAGACCAAATGGTTGTCAGAAAATGAGACCGTTTCTAAGACCCCTCAAATTAGTCGACAGAAAATGATACCGGTTCTAAGACAGGTCAATTAGTCTACGGAAAGTGATGCCGGTTCTAGGATAGCTCAATTACTGAAATAGTTATATAATGCCGTTGCTAGGAGAGTTTGACCTCGTTGGACCTGCTTTAGACCCGGAATCATTTTCTGTCGGCAGGTCATTGATTTGTCTTAGAACCGGCATAATTTTCTGTGGGATAATTTGACCTGTTGTAGAATCGGCATCATTTTCTGTCGATCATTGCGTCGTCATCATCGTCGTCAAGCTTCGGATAAAAAAAGATGGGGGTCGTAAGACAGGTCCAAATGGTCATGCCGTTTCTCAAACAATTAGTTGACCGAAAATGATTCCGGTTTTAAGACAGGTCAAATTTGTCGATAGAAAATGATACCGGTTCCAAAATAGCCCAATGACTGTTAGTAATTATACGATGCGATTTCTAAGACAGTTTGACCTCATTGGAGCTGTCTTAAAAACGGCGCCATTTTTTTGACTGCTCATTGACTTGTCTTGGCATCGGCATCATTTTATATGTGCTAATTTGACCTGTCTTAGAAAAGGCATCATTTTTTATCGACTAATTTGGGCTGTCATAGAACCGGCATCATTTTCTGTTGGCTAATTTGACCTGTTTTAGAATCGGCATCACTTTCTGTTGACTAATTTGAGCTGCCTTAAAAACGGCGTCATTTTCTGTCGATCATCGCGTCATTGTCGTCAAGCCTCAGACAAAAAATCATGGGAGTCGTAAAATAAGACCAAATGGTCGACAGAAAATGACACCGTTTCTAAGACCCCTCAAATTAATCGACAGAAAATGATTCCGGTTCTAAGACAGGTCAAATTATTCGACGGAAAATGATGCCGGTTCTAGGACAACTCAATGACTGTAGTAGATATATAATACCGTTTCTATGACAGTTTAACTTCATTTGACCTGCCTTAGACCCGGCATCAATTTCTGTCTACTAATTTCAGGGGTCTTAGAAACGGTGTCATTTTCTGTGGGATAATTTGACCTGTTGTAGAATCGGCATCATTTTCTATGGATCATTGCGTCGTCATCATTGTCGTCAAGCCTTGGACAAAAAATGATGGGGGTCGTAAATGTCCAAATGGTCGATAGTTAATCAGTCCGTTTCTAAGACACCCCGAATTAGTTGACCGAAAATGATTCGGGTTCTAAGACAGGTCAAATTTGTCGACAGAAAATGATGCGGGTTCCTAGACTGCTGAATGACTGTTAGTGGCGATACGATGCGGTTTCTAAGACAGTTTGACCTCATTTGAGCTGTCTTAGAAACGGCCCCATTTTTTTTTTTTTTTTGACAGATCATTGACTTGTCCTAGAACCGGCATTGTTTTCTGTGTGCTGATTTGACCTGTCTTAAAAACGGGATAATTTTTTATCGGCTAATTTGAGCTGTCATAGAACCGGCATCATTTTTTGTCGGCTAATTTGACCTGTTTTAGAATCGGCATCATTTTCTGTCGATCATTGCGTTGTCAAGCTTCGGACAATAAAATGATGGTGGTCGTAAGACAGGTCCAAATGGTCGACAATAAATCATTCCGTTTCTAAGACACCCCGAATTAGTTGACCGAAAATGATTCCGGTTCTAAGACAGGTCAAATTTGTCGACAGAAAATGATGCCGGTTCCAAAACAGCTCAATGACTGTTAGTAATTAGACGATGCGATTTCTAAGACAGTTTGACCTCATTTGAGCTGTCTTAGAAACGACACCATTTTTTTGACAAGTCAATTAGCCTGTTCTAGGACAGCTCAATTACTGAAATAGTTATATAATTCCGTTTCTAGGAGAGTTTGACCTCATTGGACCTGCCTTAGACCCGGCATCATTTTCTGTCGGCAGGTCATTGATATGTTTTAGAAACGGCATCATTTTCTGTGGGCTAATTTGACTTGTTTTAGAATCGGCATTACTTTCTGTCAACTACTTTGAGCTGCCTTAGAAAAGGCATCATTTCCTATCGCTCAACGCGTTATCGTCGTCATCAGGCTTCAGACAAAAAGTTGTGGGGGTCATAAGACAGGTCCAAATGGTCGACAATAAATAATGCCATTTCTATGACTACCCCAATTTGTCGACAGAAAATAATGCCGGTTTGACCTCATTTGAGCTGCCTTAGAATCGGCATCATTTTCTGTGGACTAATTTGACCTGTTTTAGAATCGGCATCATTTTCTGTGGACTAATTTAAGCTGTCTTAGAAACGGCATCATTTTCTGTCGATCATCGCGTCGTCGTCGTTAAGCCTCAGACAAAAAATGATGGGGGTCCTACGACAGGTACAAATGGTCGACAGAAAATGACAACTCAATGACTGTAATAGTTATATGTTTGACCTCATTTGCGCTATCTTAGAAACGGCATCATTTTCAATTGCCTAATTTGACTTGCTTTAGAATCGGCGTCACTTTCTGTCGACTAATTTGACCTGTCTTAGAAACGGCATCAATTTCTGTCGATCATCGCGTCGTCGTCGTCGTCGTCAAACTTCATTCAAAAAATGATGGGGGTCGTAAGACAGGTTCAAATGGTCGACGGTAAATGATGCCGCTTCTAAGACATCTCGAATTAGTTGACAGAAAATGATGCCGGTTTCAAGACAGCTCAATGACAGTTTGACCTCAGCATCATTTTCTAATTTGACCTGTTTTAGAATCGGCATCACTTTCTGTATACTAATTTGAGCTACCTTAGAAACGGCATCATTTTTTGTCCTCGTCAAGCTTCGGACAAAAAATGATGTGGGTCCTACGATAGAAAACTAAGTACTCATGAATACGAAAATTCGGGTTTCCGGTTTACGTTTAATAGCAATCCGAAACTATAGAACTAATTATTCTAACATATCAAAAGTTTTTTTTTTCTTTCACCAAAAAGATTATCATAAAAATGGTAAAAAACTAAATATCCCTTTAAATGTGGTTTGGCAATCCACTATTATTTGCAACTTAACTATAAACGAGTTACTCTTCGGTACTAATACAGAGTTTCTGTAAATGATTATAGAGTCGAAGTAGGTCTTGAACACGTGCCGCCTCTCAGTTTTGGACTTTACTAAATGCCCAAGGACGCACGACAAATACCATACGCGTCTGTATAACTGGTTGCGTAAATGATTCAAATCTCATTAAAAAAATAAAACTAATTCATTACAATAAAAAGAAACAAATTGTCATAATGAGGCATAATTTCAGCGAAGCGGTATTTTTGAATCATCCATAAAAACCCTGTGTTAATGTAGAACAGAACATCACCTAAAATGTACTCATTTCTATAGGATTTTTTAAATGTAGGTGAAAGAATAACGAGTAATGAAACGAATTTACAGTATGTGACTATCGACCTTTAGTTTTTCCACGTTAGTGTTATCCTGAAACTTTATAATATAAAATATTCTCAACAGCTGGAAAATTAGAGAAACTTGAGTGGAAGTGTTCTTGGCAAACTAAACACAAACTTGGAATTAGTTTCGTATTAAGAAAACAAATACGATACAGCAGCGCCATCAAACACCTCCTATTCAAATTTATTTAAATTTTTCTGTGTAAAACAAGTAAAAAACTGCATCCACACAAAAACGCCGGTATTAAATATTCTAGACCCTCGCATAAATTTTTGGTTATCAGAATTCCCCTTGTCGGATTTTACAGATTGTCCCTAAAAAAACCCGTGAAAATATCCGCCTGAAAATTTTACCAGCTTTTAGCCTGATCCTTACTAAACAGGAACTTGTCCATTTTCCCATCGATACCTTCACGCATTAATTTTTTATAAATCTTTTTGTGAAACTCTGCATTCAAGTAGGTTCCCTGGTGGTATGCATCGATAAATAATGAACCAAACCGAAAACCGACTTTTGATAGACGGCGCTACGTGAGATCAAAATTATTTCGAAACGTAAACGACGCGAATGTTCTTTGTCAGCGTTTTGGAATAGATTAAGGGCTCTTCCACGAGCTTATGCATCTAAGCCATAAAAAGCTAACCAAGAGGACCTGTGGGACGTGTTATTTTCGCTCTTTCGTAGTGCTCTGAAAGAATTGAGCATACTGAACGTGGATATTTTTGCAAAAAAAGTGTGTGTTTTAGTTGTAATAATACCCTAGGGTGTTGATTTTATCGACGTGACGTACAATTATTAATGTTGTACTTACTTGAGAAAAAAACAACATAAATCGGATTTTTTCTTTTCTTCTGTATATAATACTCCACTCTCATTTTCGCGCCGAACTACAGTAATTGAAATTAATTTTAACACGCGAGCCGACATATTGATGGCGCTGGGTCACGTGATCACGACAAGGACAACAATGTCGTCGGGGTGAAGTCTTTCAGAGGCCGATGTTATTCAAGCTGTTGGAAATTTTAATTTCGACGAGACCGAGGGTAAATTCTCTTTGAGATTATTATTCTTAAGTTGAGTGATCTCTCATTTAATTTATATTCATAAGAAGAGACGAAACAAGATCGATAATAGAAAGTACTTACTTGGGCATTGCTCGATGATTTCGTCGGACCCATCCTCACAGTCGTTCTCCCCGTCGCACATGAAAGATATTGCTATGCATTTTTTATTGGCACAAGTAAATTGTCGTAATGAGCAAGGTACAGCATCTGGAACAAAAAGAAAATCATGAAGAATTACGAGGGATATTTTAGATTAAGACATAACCTAACAAATCATGGTGTTTTGACAGGAGAAATATGGCGCGTCTGATGTAATTACATTACGGACTGGTTTTTTTTCTAATAACTTATTACGGAATAAAGCAAAGGCGAGAGATTTGAGGGATAATCCCGCATTTTCATATAAATTGGAATGAGATTACTAAGCCAACAGGTAAGTTAAAAATGGCGACCTTTTTTAGTAATTTTTCACGGAAATACCTGAAACACAAATATGACAAAGCGAAATTGTTTGCCAGACAGATTTGTATTGGTCACAGCACCAAATACTAAGTTATCGCCTCAGCTGTCGTTTTGTTACCCTCATATATCTCGAACTCTGTGGTACAGCTTAGAATTTGAATTAGGGGAAAAATCGAAAAATCTCTACTACTTAAAATTAACCAGAAAAATAAAACATTCTTACGAAATTCCGCCTCATATATATTCAGACGACAGGCTAATTAAGAACTTTAATTAGGTACATCAATCAAAAACGCCATTAATTTTCCCAAATCGTGAGTTAAATGCAAATTAGGGAAGATTTTATGAAATGACACTGTTCACTGCAATGAATTTATAGTGGTTTATGCGGGTTAGGTTCTTACAATCGATTACACGCAGATCTCTATGTACTCCGTTATAATATAACTTTGTGACAAATAACACTCGGCAAAAGTTATGAACTGCTTTGGCAACATCAAGAAATCCCTGTTAAATATTTATAGCAACTCTGAACCATATCTTTATCCTTTAGTTATTGTTATTACTTAACTCAATGACAACAAAAGTCGCAGAAATATTCACTATTCGAGTTACAATGTTTTAACTATAGCACCCCTGCGAGCCTAAGAGGATCAATATGAGCCAGGTAATGCACACATGGATGACGGTTATTTGTTCTGATTTGGTAAATGTTATGGCTTCATTCCTCCCCATGTGTATAATACAGAGTATTGGTTTTTCATTATTCTATCTTACGGCTGGCTCTTTCATAAAACGAGAGGAAAATGCCATTATTTTTTTTATTTTAGGGCTATATGCACATAAACTTTGGAAAAAAAAGATTTTGTTTATCGTGACTTTATTTGAAATAAAAATCCCCGAAGTTTTATTGACGTAAATTAATCTCCTGAGAACCAAATCAAAATCAATATTTTTTTTAACCGAGAGAAAGACAATACGTAAGTGTTGTACGACTTTATATGAACTTGCGCAAACTTGATTCCCTTGTTACATACTGGATACGAATTCAGTGCAAAATATAAAATTGGTAGTAACCACTTCTGCTTCCTGCGTTACTTCTTATGGGTTGTAAAGTTTTAAAACATGGAACGGTGGAAGCAGGCTGTTGCTGTAATAAACCGGTGTATCCTAACTGCGCCGATAAAACTTAAAACCTGAAAACGACGAACAAACTGCGCCGCATCCAGCTGATCTTAAATTATCGTTAGTAATATTTAGGGTTATAGCAAAAACGACAACTAGTAACGACTGTGACTACTTAGTATATCGCGCTTAAATAATCGTTTTTCTTAGTGGATTACTTTATCCACTTACTTACGTAAATTTGACAGTCAGTGAACAAGTTATTTTTTGTAGTGAAATGTAGTCCTACACGTGTTATAAAAAATCTTTTAAATGTCAGTTTGATACATGATCTTCATACGTTATGCGGTCTTAGTTCAGAGTTCAGGGGGAATTCTCACACCGGTCCTTGAAGGCTTAACGGGATGACTTGAAGATAAGGCGCACTTTATTGGTATCCCGGTAAACGGCGCAGTTTGGTATTCTCTTAATACATATAAAATAATTTCCCCAGTGATAAGTTTAGAGCTTCCTTAATGATTATATTGTTATGTGAAACGCTTAGTTCAGCCCGAAAAAAATATATAAAAATTGTTTGCGTTTTCTGTTTTCTGAAAACCTCTATAAAGTACTAAGTGTAAATAACACTGTCGTTTTTTGACTGGATTTTAAAATTTTTTTTTTTTTTCAATTATGTACGATTTTATAATTTTTGTCTTTCAGATCTTAATTTTTCCAGTTTTTCGTTTTTTCAATTTTTCGATTTGCAATTTTTCAAATTTTTGATTTTTAAATTTTTCAGTATTTCGAATTTCCAACTTCTGATGTTTCAGTTTCCAGATTTTGTGATTTTTCGATTTGCTATTACTCGAGTTTTCATTTTCAATTTTTCAAGTTTTCATGTCTTCAATTTTTATTGCAATTATTCGTTTCCATCTTTGTTTCCTCTATTTTTTCAATTTTTTGGTTTTTCAATGCTCTGACTTTATAATTTTTCTCGTTTTCAATGTGAAAATTTTCAGTTTTTGGACTTTACAATTTGACGATTCTATAATTCTTGGATTTTTAGTTTTTCGATTTTTCATTTTTACGATTTCGCAATTTTCCGATTTTTCAGTTTTTCAAATTTTCGAATCAAAAAATGAAAAAATGGAAAAATTGCAAAATTGAAAAATCAGAAATAAGAAAACCAAAAAGTATTAAATGCAGACTTTGAAAAATCTAAAAATTTGAAATCAGAACTCGAGAACTGAAGAAACGAAAAATTGAAAGTATCTTTAGATTTTTCGATTTGCAATTTTTCGTTTCTATTGTTAATTTTCTTTATGCTTTCAATTTTTCGGTTTTTCGATGTTCAGATTTTATAATTTTTCTTTTTTTTAAATGTGTTTTTTCCAATTTTTCGCTTTTGAATTTTTCGATTTCTCGATATTCAATTTTTCACTTTTTCGTCTTTACAATTTTGACGAGTCTACAATTTTTCGATTTTGCAATTTTCCGATTTTCCAATTAAAAACATGAAAAAATTGCAAAATTGTACGATTGAAAAATCAAAAGTGGGAAAACGAAAACGTATGAAACCCAAAATTTCAAAAATCTAAACATGGGAATTCAAGAACTTGATGAAACGAAGAATTGGAAAATTCTTGCGATTTTTCAATTTTTCGTTTCCGTTTCAATTTTTCGATTTTTCAATGTTTCGATTTTATTTTTATTTTTTGAGATTTTTTAATTTTTGGATTTTGCAAATTTCGATTTGCAATTTTTCGGTTTTCAATTTTGACGGAACTATAATTTTTTGATTTTACAATTTATTTCGAGTTGAAAGTTTTCCATTTTCCGTTTTTACGATTGGCAATTTTCTGATTTTATAGTTTTTCAACTTGTTGAATAAAAAAATGGAAACATTGCAAAAGTAAAATCTAAATATTGGAAATCACGAACTTGAAGAACTGAAGAAACGAAAAATCGGAAAATTCTTTCGATTTTTCAATTTTTCATTTCTTTAGTTTTTCAATTTGCAATTTTTCGTTTCCGTTTTTTATTGCCTTTATTTTTTCAATTATTCGGTTTTTCAATGTTCTGATCTTATAATTTTTCTTTTGCTTTAACGTGAAATTTTTAATTTTTCGGTTTTCAATTTTTCCATTTTTGGATATTTAATTTTTCAATTTTCGAGTTCTTCAATTTGAAATTTTTTGATTTTGCAATCTTCCGATTTTCCAATTTTTCAATTTTTCGAATCAAATACATGAAAAAATTGCAAAATTGTACATTTGAAAAATCAAAACATGGGTAGTCGAGAACTTGATGAACTGAAACGAAGAATTGGAAAATTCTTTCGATTTTTCAATTTTTCGTTTCCGTTCAATTTTTTGGTTTTTTAATGTTTCGATTTTATAATTTTTCTTTTTTCAATGTGAGATTTTTTAATTTTTGGATTTTTCAATTTTCGATTTGCAATTTTTCGGTTTTCAATTTTGACGGATCTATAATTTTTTGATTTTACAATTTATTTCGAGTTGAAAGTTTTCGATTTTCCATTTTTACGATTGTGCAATTTTCTGATTTTTCAGTTTTTCTACTTGTTGACTAAAAAAATGGAAAAATTGCAAAAGTAAAATCTAAATATTGGAAATCAAGAACTTGAAAAACTGAACAAACGAAAAATCGGAAAATTATTTCGATTTTTCAATTTTTCATTTCTTCGATTTGCAATTTTTCGTTTCCGTTTTTTGTTTCGTTTATTTTTTCAATCATTGGGTTTTTCAATGTTCTGATTTTATAGTTTTTCTTTTGTTTTAACGTGAAATTTTTCAATTTTTCGATTTGCAATTTTTCGGTTTTCAATTTTTCCATTTTTCGATATTTAATTTTTCATTTTTCGACTTTACAATTTTGACGATTCTATAATTTCTCGATTTTAATTTTTTTTTTCGATTTTTAGTTTTTCAATGTTGAAATTTTTCAATGTTTCAACTTTTCAAATCAAGAAAAATTGTAAAATTGAAAAATTAAAAATGTGAAAAGTATAAAACGCAAATTTTGAAAAACCTAAAAATTGGAAATCAAGAAATTGAAGAATCGAAGAAACTAAAACTTGAAATTTTTTTTTGATTTTTCAATTTTTCTAGTTGCAATTTTTCATTTTAGCTTTCTATTTTTTCAATTTTTTGGTTTTCCAATGTTCCGATTTAATAATTTTTCTTTTTTTCAGTATGAAATTTTTCAATTTTCGATTTGCAATTTTTCGGTTTTCAATTGTTCGATTTCTCAATATTTAATTTTTCAATATTTTGAAATTATAATTTTGACGATTCTATAATTTTTCGATTTTTGGTTTTTCAATGTTTCAATTCTCCGGTTCTTCAGTTCTTCCATTTGAAATTTTACGATTTTGCAATTTTCCGATTATTCAGTTTTTCAACTTTTCGAATCAAAAAAAAGGAAATATTGAAAAAGTAAAATCTGAAGATTGGAAATCAAGAACTTGAAGGAATGAAGAAACGAAAAATCGGAAAATTCTTTGGATTTTTCAATTTTTCATTTCTTCAATTTGTCGACTTGCAATTTTGATTTTGCAATTTTCCGATTTTTCAGTTTTTCAACTTTTCGCATCAATAAAATGCAAAAATTGCAAA